GTGTCACAAATGTGACTATGACAAATGCCACCAAAGAAGAGACTGGCACTCCAGGGCATGAACTATGGACATTTTTTTTTTCCTGGTAATGACAAGTTGTTAGCAGTAAGGTCAGAAGATATGAGTTGGCATCTAGGTTTTACTGTCACCAGCTGGATTGCTTAGACTCACTAGGCCCCTGTTTCTCTATCTAACTGTTGAGAATGCTCTCTCCCAGGTTCCAGAGAGCTATGGCTTTATGTTCCTGTCTTTAGCCTGTCTGGTGCCTGTGCTTCTGGGTCATTTTCTTTTACGTCACGTTATACTCCCTTTAGGTTAAGCAGCTAATTGGAGAATTTTTGCAGTTCAGTCCTAGGATGAGACAGAATAGCTGGGTTTGAATCTTGGTCCTGCCACTTACTGGCTCTGTGGCCTCAGGAAATTTACTAGGCCTCTCTGTGCTTCAAAGATCCTTCATCTGTAAAATGGGGATAATCGTAGTACTTGTCTTACAGGATTTCCATGGGGCTTAAATGGGTTATTGGCTATTTCTCTTTCTGATCATTTGGGGAAGGAGCCAGTGCTGGGAGGACAGAAAGCCTTCTGGAAGAACATGGGACCACTCGCATGGGGGTTAGAAAGAGCGTCACCCTATTTTAGCTTGCCTGATATTCCTTGAGGTCCTGGGAGTTGTATTCCCTCCATGGCCAGGACATGGTTCGCCTGAGGTAGACACTGAAATGGAGAGAGTTCCTACCTTCTCAAAGGGGAAGAAGGTGTTCGGAAGGGCGAGAAGTAAATCTGTTGTGGGGACACATCACAATCATATGATAACATGATATTTGAAAAAGTAACCAGTGATGTTCCCTGTCCCTTACAAATAGCTTTTTTTCCCATGGCCTTTTCCTGGTCAACTTTGGCTATTCTGAGCTTTCCCTAGTGGAAAAGTTTTAATAATTAAAAGGGAAAATAAGATTCACTTTTGATTTTTGGCTTCCAAAACACAGTACTCATGGCCTTTTCCTGGTCAACTTTGGCTATTCTGAGCTTTCCCTAGTGGAAAAGTTTTAATAATTAAAAGAGGGAAAATAAGATTCACTTTTGATTTTTGACTTCCAAAGCACAGTACTCAGGAGGCCCTGGAAAAAACTCTACAAGGCTAGGAGGTGATTTAGAGCAAGCCAGGGCAGACTAAGAAGTCCCTGTCCTGAGTCAGGGTGGAGGCCTGGAGGAAAAGTGAAGAGTCACAGGTGTGGAAGGCTCTTGTGGAACTTAAAAGTATACTGCTGCACTCTCCTTTCTGGAAAGAACCTGCCCTTCCACTGGGAGGAGTGCAGTTGGAATGTGAGCCCATAGCTGTGAGCCTTCAGGATTCACTGCAGCATTTGATCCAAAGCTGCACCTTCTTGGGCAGCTCCAGCCAACAGCCACTGAGCATGTTTGGCCACCTGTGCTCCTTGCTGGACTCCAGTGAGTGGTCTTTGCTCTAGGGCTCTCTGTGGGGCTGATGGAGACTTCGTTAGATGTTCATGGCATTCTGAAGCTTGCCTACCCAATCCTGCTTCTTCCTTATCTTCATAGGTGTCTCTTCCCCACTCCTTCCATAAATCTCTCATACATCTAACTCCATTGCAATGTCTGCTGCCCAGTGGATCAATGGACATAGTCTCTGAGAAAAGTGTGACCCAAAGAGGGAATGGTAACACCACTCCCTGCTCCCCACCCCTATAGGTTTGGGAACCCAAGAATCTGGGCCCCACACCTGGGCAGAACCCTGTTGAGACAGCAGGATCCCAGAGAAGAACTGGCCTCCTGGTGTATCCTGGTACTTGAGACTGGACTTCTGGGAAAAACTCAGCCTCATGTGGCTGAGTATAGGGAGAGGCATGGGAGCAGCTGAACCTGAAGAGACTTTAGGGTCAGGAAAGTGGCATGACCTGAAATGACCTGCATGGACAAATGACTGAAAGCCAGTTGGACATGAGGATGCCCCAGCAGAACTAGCATGGATACAGGAAGACTTCTCCCACCCCTGCTCTTCTTCTAGCTCTATGTAAGAAAACCCCTCAACCATGCTGGAGAGTGGTTGGGAGGAATCGCGTATTAACTAAGATGTTTTGGGCTCAAAATAGTAATGATGTTCTGTTTTAGAAAAGCAAAGTAAACTAAGAGATTACATTTCTTGACCACCTGAGCATGTGGCTTAAAATCTGCACCCATCCAGTAACATCATACTAAGGGCACGAGGCTCAACCTGGTGAGCCAGGAGGATTCTCAAGGCCACAGGGACACATCTTCTTCCCTCTCCTGACACCTCTCAGGTCCTTCCCAAGCAGCTCTAAGCCCCCACACCTGGCCCTGGAGAGGCCCTTCCTTGAGCAGAGCTGAAGGGAGAGCCTGTGGTGGAAATGGCTACTGCTGTGATGCTGGTTTATATCACAACAGATTGTGAGTAGGCAAGCCAAAATCCAGACTGGCAGGAGACTCAAGGACACAGCAGCAGGACCTGACATGATGTGACTTTATTCAGGAATCAGAGGCAGCAGCAGGCAGCCTGGAGCAGAGATGGGAGGGTAGAAAGTGGGCTGGATGGAAAGTGGCTTCAGTAGGTCTTGTAGGTTGGCCAGAGGAGAGCAGAGAGGATCCAACCGTGGATAGGAAGCACACAAAGTCCTGGCTAGCACAGGTTTTTATTGGCTCTGTGTTCCTCCTACCATGGATAGGAAACATCTGGATGCAGAAGGGAGAGAGGGCATGTGCTCATCTCCTAACTCTTGGACCAGAGCAGCAGTGTGGAGCCCTCAACTTCACTGTGAAAGGTGCTGGGGTCAAAATATTATTGGTTACTACATGAACAATTTGCCTTTGCCCTCCAATTCATCCTTCTCTTTACTGCATGGATAATCTTAATTATGTCGTCCTCATGTTGAAATAACTTCAATGCTTCCTTTTGCTTCAAAGATAAAGATCCAGGATTCCTCGGCCTGGCATCTGAAGACCTCCAGGGTCTGTCCTTTGCCTCCTTACCCAGCGTGACTGTTCTCCAACTTCTGTCAAAATGAGCTATGAGTCAGTCCTCCAATGGGCCTTAACATTCCAGATCCTATATTCTTGGTTGAGACATTCTTTAATTGCTGCTTTATTCTATCTCCACCAAACTAACCATCTCGAATCTTTAAGATCAGCTGGAGTTTCTTCTCTTCCAGGAAGCTCTTTACTTTCCTCTGCCTTCCCATGCTTGTCACCTCATCTCCCCACTCTGTACTTCTATAAGAATAAGCTGTTCCTCTTTACTGACCCCAAAGGAACACAAAAGTAATGCTCCTCACTCTTCATCTCTTCTATACCCCATATACTTTTTGGCTTTTGCCCCAAATTAATAACAACATAACTAATACCAGACAGCAATCTTCAGTCACCTTTGAAAAAAAACTTAAAGGCTGATTAAGATGTTTCAAAACAAATTATAGCCATAGGAATAACGTCATTTTTATCAGAAATTAGTCTGTATTCAGTCATTTTTCCTGGTCCCATTTACAAACACTCCCAAGGGTGGAGAGGAATTTTCTTTGCATTTATACTGTATTGTACTGGCCATTTATAACATCTGCAGAAACATCTGGGTAATTTCATTTTCATAAGCCTCAAGATGTGTGTGCCTCTTTCGACACATTCAGGATGGACTGAGGAAGGCATATGACCATGAGTTCACGCAAAAACTGTTTGAGTGGCAAGGGGGGACTTTCCATGATGGTGGACATAGTGGCCAGGATGGGCAGAAATGATGAGGATGACTGGAGGGTAGGGTGAGTGGTTGAGGGGTTCACTAGAGAGGAAAGCTGAGCTCTGATTCTAAAGAGGAGCATTTGTTCTGGATCTTTTACTCACTGTGCTGAGGGTAAGAAATCTTAGTCCATGTGCTAAAGGGGCAGGGGTCTACAGGAGACCTGTGCTCCTTACAGGGAAGTGACAACTCTCACGGTTTTCACTCACAGAAAAGTCCCGTAGCTTCTGGAAAGGATGTCGCTTTGATGGCGTGAAGAGGGTGGAACTTGGAGATGAACACTTAGAGGTTCAAGTTTGCTTCTATGTCTCCAGTGTTGTGGTTTGTGAGCCTGTCACTTCAGCCCTTAGAGTATGAGTTCAGTTTGTCTGACTCTAAACTTTGGATAACGGTGTCTTCTACCACAGCCAGCACAGTCCCTGGCAGTGAGAGCTCAGTGAAAGACCCGGCCTTTGGCAATAGAGTTGGATCATGACAGGGACTTCTTTTGGAGCCATCATGCTTGTGTCCAACTCAGCAAATGGTGCATAGGATGACTTGAGGGGAGCTAGGAAACCATGAGAGGCCATGTAGGCAGGGGGATGTTGGGCCTCTGGCTCTGACAAAACTTTGTTGTTTGGAAACCAGAACCTTCTTGCCTTTCTGCCAGGAAACGTGCTGGGTTCCTAGATAGAGTTGTCTCGTTTCTTGCCTATTAGTGTGTTGTTTGTCTGCGTGGGGCTGAGGTAGCAGAATCCAGTGACAGCTTTTCCCTCCCAACTGCCAGGAAAGGCAGCCACTTTACCTGCATGTGCTCTGTAGCCAGGTCTGAGGCAACCTGCTCACATTGCTGTGAGAGACGCCAGAATCTTTACGAAGAATACACAGGCTGAGACGTAGTCCAGCATTGGTCAGTAAAAACAAGTTATATTTCAAGCAGGTAAGAAGAAAAAAATGACTAGATAGCCTATATAAGGGGACTTCATAAAGTTTATGGAAAAATGGAATAAAGTACAAGTTTATTTGGTACCAGAAAATTTGAAATCTATGCACAGTTTGTCATAATAGGCTTTTCCATAAACTCTTTGAAGACCTCTTACATAGTCCAGAACTCTAAGCCTCTAAGTGATTGCATTTTAGTATAATTTTATTTAGTATAACTTTGATCTAGAAAAGTTAAATATGAAAAAATCCATATTTTAAATTCAGAATGTTGATTTCCTTTTTAGTTATAAAATAGAAATGTTCTTATTGGGGGAATGACCCAAAGGCATAATGAAAACACACTACAAGTATAGTAAACTGGGAGAAATTAATCTAAAGTTTAAAAGATTTTTAGTTTCTTCTAAAATCAGTAAAGTTGTTCAGTATTGCTGGAATCAGTATTGCTAAATATAGGTTCAGGGCTATCAGATTGTTCAGGGTGTGGTTGGATGATAAGAGCACAATGTCCACTTTCTCTGGCATTGAAAACAGTCTATGGATACTTCCGGGTTCAAGTATTTCAGCTACTTCCCAGGATTCTCTCTCCCTGTCCTCAAACCATTGTAACCTAGATGAAATATCTTTTCAGTTCTGAACTCTGGGATCCATGACCAATCCTTGGCCTAAGTTTCTCTGGCCTTTGGTTCTCCAAATCTGGAGTTTGGCCTTCATCTCTCTAATGAGAATGGGTTTGTTGCTGGAGTTCTTATTCCCCTGTGTAGTCACCCAGAAGAACTTGCAGTGTCTGTACTGTCTTTTGAAACTCAGTGCTCACTCCAACTTCTGAGGAGCTCTTACACTGGGTTCAGAGAAGGAACCTGAAGAAAATGAAAGATTTTTTACTAAGGTTGGAAAAATCTTCTGCCATACTTCTATGCACCATGATCTACTGAGATGATAGGACCTCAGGTTGGCCAGTCAGGGTGAAGGGGAAGATTGAGGCCATGACCAATGTGGGAAAGGGCAGAATAGGGGAAGAAGATAACTGCTTCCTGAATTCATTACTCCAAAGAAATAAACTTGGTCCATACCTGAGAGAGGTTGTTGGTATAGGGAATGAGTTGCCAGGTAAAGATGGAAGGAGAGGAAGAAGAGAAAGAAGGACAGAGAAAGGAAAAAGAAATGAAAGAACATCTATTTTCATTATTCCAAAATACAGTTTGAAATCTCAATCATAGGATAAATAACAACAAACACTCCCCCATTCCTATTTTCTCTTACTCATGTTCTATTCTCATTCAAGTTTTTTCTTTTTTGAGAGATTTTTTGCTATAGGGCATGTGCACTCACCTGAGAAACAGAGAGACAGAACATGAGAAATCACCCCTCATGGGGGATGACTGTGCCACAATCCCTTCTCCTCCATTCTCCTCTCAGGATTTTGGGCACACACGCACATGTGCCTGGCGTGAGTTTTAAGTCAACAGGTCCAGGACTTGAACCGTGGTTGACTATGTAGAAGTCCAGCGATGTTAAACATTATGCCACCAGCTGGTCCCCTCATTCAAGTTTTTAGAAAGAACTGAAATTTCTGTATCCTATTTCTTATTTCCCATCTATTTGTGGGCCAGTTACAATCTGTCTCTTGTCTTTGTCCAGACATAAAACCTTTTCTTCAATTACCTTCAGAAAGTCAAACCTAATGGATTCTTTCATTCCTGATCTTACTTGACCTCTGAGTTACGATGGAATCAACTTTCATTTTTGGTTTCTGTAACATCAACTTCTCTTCATCTTCCTCCTTTCACTGTGGCACATTTTCATTCTTCTGTGTAAGCAACTTTTTTGCTCTCTTGTTGAAAATTGGTGCTCCCAGAGCTCCATTTCTGACTCTCTTTTGTCAATTCTTACTTTTTAATCTCTTCCATGCCTATTACTAATACTTCTACTAGCACGTATGGGCATATCTTCAAACTTAATCTCTTTCCTGAGCACTGGGTCATTGCAAATCGCCCTCACATATGCTCAACCTCTCAAACTACTCTTCTTTCTTTACGTGAGCTCATAAAAATGAGTATTATGAAAAGAAACTATAAATGGATTTTAATTTTTTGTCCCGAAATAAACTTGTACTAATTCTATTTGTCCATGAATATTTATTTATTAATTATTATTTTTTAATGATACAGCATGTGCATGCACATTAGAGGCAGACAGAGAGAGAGGGAAAGGGGGAAGCACTGCCAATAGGGTCTTCTTGTCATACCACAATCTCCTTTACTTACCCTTCCATCTCCTTAGAATACTGATCATCCATGAGTGCTCCCAGAAAATTTGCAAGCTAACCTGAGACTGTGAACCTACAACTGGCTCTATAACTTCCAGTTTTTCAGGGCAATATTGTTACTTCTACACTGTAGCAGCCAGGTCTGCCTATAAGCTTTTGAAATACTCTTGCATTAACTTCCTCATTGTTAGAACATGGAAAATTAATATTCTGTAACAGGTGGAGATAAGGGAGAGCAGCAACAGCAGCATTAGTAGTAGACATGGTTGCTTTCAAAGCCAGAGCATATTTAGCAGTCTTAGGTGGCTCTATTAATATCCATTCTTGGTAATTAAGATAGTGTTATGTTGGTACAAAGGTGAACCAATGGAACAGAATAGGGGGGCTTATCTTTAGCAAAGGTGTTACTGCAGTCCAGTGGGGAAAAAGATGGTCTTTTCAGTGAATAGTGCTGCATTAGTTGGAATTCCACATGAAAAACAATGGACCTTGAAATCTATCTCATACCACACACAAATGAACTCAAGTTACATATTAGAACTAAACATGAAGATAAAACAGTAAAGGTCCTAGAAGAAAACGTAAATGAACAACTTGATATGAATAGCACCAGCCATAAAAAGGAAACATTTATATGTTGGGCTTTATTAAAATGAATAGTGTCTGTTCACCGAAAGGCACCATTAAATTATCAAAATTTCGATTCTACCCAAATTAATCTACAAATGTAATGAAGTCCTGATCAAATTACCAGAGATACACTTTGAAGATCTAGAAAAAAACAATCATAGAATTTGTCTGGAATCATAAAAGACCCAGTATTGACAAATCAATACTGCATAAAAAGAGAGGAGTAGAAGACATCTCACTCCCTAACCTCAAAATATATTACAAAGTTGTGATAATTAAAACAGCATGATACTAGCACAAAACTGGCATGTAGGCCAATGGAACAGAATAGAATCTCCAGAAATAAATCCCCAAATTACAACCAATTGATTTTGAAAAAGGGCACCAGATAATCTAGTGGGAAAAAGAAAATCTCTTCAGCAAATGGTGTTGGGAAACCTGGCATTCCACCACAGAGAAATGAAACCATATCCCCACCTTTCACCATTGATTCAAAATTAAGATCTAAACCTTAGACTTCAAACTATAAAACTACTGATGGAAAACATAGGGGAAATTCTTGGAAACCATATTAGGCAAAGAATTCTTAAATAAGACCCCCAAAACACAGGCAATAGTCCCCAAAATAGACAATTGGGATTGTATCATGTTAAAAAGCTTCTTCACAGCAAAAGAAACAATAATTAGAGTGAAGAAACAACTCTCAGAATGGGAAAATATATTTGCAGACTCTCCTTGGATAAGAGACTGATAACCAAAACATTCAGAGAAGTCAAACAGCTTACCCCCCAACACACACACAACACACACACACAAATCAATCCAATTGAAAGATGGTATAATAAGCTGAACAGACAACTCTCCAAGGAAGACATATGAGCAGCCAAAAAGCATATGAAAAAATGTCCAACATCCTTTATTATAAGGGACATGCAAATCGAAACCACAGTGAGAAATCACCTAACCCCAGTCAGAATGGCTAAGATAAAAAGAAAGAAAGAAAGAAGAAAGAAAGAAAGAAAGAACAATAAGCACTGGTGAGGCTGTGGTGAAAAGGGAACTCTTTTATGCTGTTGGTGGGAATGTACATTAGTATGACCACTGTGGAGAACAATATGGAGTTTCCTCAAAGACCTACAAATAGAGCTACCATATGATCCAGCAATTCCACTCCGTGTATCTACCCAAAAGTCAGGGATATACTTAGCCAGAAACACTTGCACATTCATGTTCATTGCAGCATTATTCACAATTGCTAAGACATGGAACCAACCCAAATGTCCAAGGACATATGAGTGTGTTGGAAACATATGGCACATATACACTACAGAATACTACTCAGCCATAAAACAAAAACAAAAACAAAAACAAACCAAAGAGACCCTGGCATTTGATAGAACGTGGACTAGTCTGGAAGACTTACTGCTAAGAAAAGCAAGCCAGATTATGAAGGAGAGGCATTGTGTGTTCCCACTTACCATACACTGAATATCTGCATTCAATGGCAGAAACGGAAAGATTAGAAAGTATAAGAGCATGGACAGCAACTGTTGACACCAGAGACAGTTTGGGAGCAGGGTGGGAAATGGGGTGATGGAGGGGATCAAGGGGAAAATAAATAAATGAAAATAAATAAATAAATATAAAGAAAAAATGTGGCACGCATACTCTATGGAATATAACTTAGCCATACAAAATGAGACCTTGGCATTTGATACAAAGTGGATGAATATGGAAGATTTAATGCTAAGTAAAGCAAGCCAGACTATGGAAAGACAGACTTTGTATGTCCTCCTTCAATATAGGCAGAATGTCTACTCTTTTTTTTTTTTTTGGAGAGGTTTTTGCTATAGAGTGCGTGTGCTCGCCAGAAAGACAGAGACAGAGAGACAGAAAGCGAGAAATCACCCCCCCAGGGGGATGGCCATGCCACAATCCCTTCTCCTCCATTCTCCCCTTGGGATCCTGGGCACGCACGCACACGTGCCGGTGTGAGTTTAAGCTACCGGGTCCGGGACTCGAACCGCAGTCGACTACGTGGGAGTCCAGCGACATAGCCATTACACTAACTGCTGGTCCCCAGAATGTCTACTCTTTATGGCAGAAACTGAAATAGTGGGAAATATAATAGCAGAAACAACAAGAGAAGATACCATAGACTGCAGGGGTGGGTGGATAGTTGGAAGTGAGAGGGAGAAACTCAAGAGAAAAAAGGAACATTTAACAGAAAGATATTGTGTATGATAATATCTTTGACTTGCTTGATTCATTTGAGAACCCACGTGGTATGCTCTAAATATTTACAATGATTAAATGTAAATAAATAATAAAATAAAGTATGTTTAAAAATAATAAATAAAAGGATAGATAAAAATCTAAAAAAATAAAAGATCATGAAAAGGCAATTCATGTAGCTGGAAAGGATATTTGTAATTAAATATCTGACCAAAGACTCATACTTAGAATATATAAACAAAAATACTTAAATGTAAAATGTAAAGGACTAACAATTCTCAGGAAAATAAAAAACATTTAACAGTCACAAGAATGTAAAGTCTGGGAACCAGCAGTTAGCGTAATGGCTATGTCGCTGGACTCCCACGTAGTCAACTGCGGTTCGCGTCCCAGACCCGGTGGCTTAAAACTCACGCCGGGCACGTGTGCGTGCGTGCCCAAGATCCCGAGAGGAGAATGGAGGAGAAGGGATTGCGGTGTGGCCATCTCTCCTAGGGGGTGATTTCTCGCTTTCTGTCTCTCTGTCTGTCTGGCGAGCGCACGCCCCCTATAGCGAAAATCTCTCCAAAAAAAAAAAAAGAATGTAAAGTCATTGTGTGTGGTGGTATCTTTGACCTGCTTGACATGCAATGCATTTCTGCTGTGAGAACCCGTATTGTATGCTGTCAAGCTGTACAGTGATTAAATGTGCATAAAAAAAATGATTCAAAGTCTTAAACAGCCCTT